CCCTGTGCCATTCCCGCCTTGCGTTCTTACTACTCAGGCGGAACCTGTTTAAGGGGCACCTCGTCATCCACTCGGGCGGGAAGGCGTCGGGGTTCAAGAACAAGAGCGCGGAAGACTCGTACGACGAGGACGGCGTCTGTTTGTTCCACGTCAAGGGCACGCAGCCGGGTAACACCTACGGTGTACAGGTGGGTGTTGGTGTTGGGGCGCGCGTCTTGGGTGTGTGTGTGTGTGTGTTTGTTTGTGTTTGTGTTTGTGTGTGTGTGTGTGCGTGTTTATTTTTTGCGCTGGCCGGCTAACCAATATTGGTATGTTGAAGTCAGGTTAAGAAAGCAGAACGACCGTGATGATCTGGGACCTCGTGAGGGAGAAGGGTGAACTTTTCTCCGGATTAAAGGCACAAACGGTAGGTAGCTACCGAGGGACCTTTTGTGTGTGTGCGTTTGTGTTGTCAACTGTCAAAAGTGGCGTGCTGACCAACTGATGAGGTGCATAGTGACGTTGTGCAGTTGCTGAGCTTGACGATTGTTAGTGACGTCATGTGTTGACAATGACCCGAACAAACAAACTTTACGTGTCACTTGTCGGTGCCACTCGTTTTCGTGACCGTCAAGCACTTGATGCTTTCGAAATCTGCCACAACCGGATTCGGCACATGCAGGTGCCCGAGACAGCGAGCAGCCTTAACTCCGGGGACAGCTTCGTCCTCCTCACGCCCACGGACGTGTACCTTTGGGTGGGCAACGGGTGCTCCGCCGAGGAATCACACGCCGCGGAAGAAATCTCGAAGGTATTTTTTTTTTTTAAGTTGCGCAACAAGAGCGGATTCGTCATTTAGCAATTGGTTTTAGGCGCCCGAGTCCGTTGGATCAGTACAGGTATTTTTGAGTAGAGACCGGAATTATTTAAATGTGTAGACAACAACAACTTGCGCTTGGGGTGGGCAACGACTAGGGAATACTAGCGGAGGAAAGTCGACAACAACCGTGGTAGACCAATGGCTGGGGAAATGTCGAAAATTGTGCGGGAGAGGACAGCTCCACGTGGAAAAATGCACACCACCCGATGGTAAACCGGGACACATGAACGGTGGTACAAACGCCGATGATGGATGCTGCCGTTGATCTACGTCGTAAAGTCTACCACCGTATCCTTCGTTCGTGGCCGAACGTTCGTTCAATGCCAAACTACTGCTTGTAGATGGTGCTCGACCACGGGGGTGTCTCTGGCCGGACGGTGTCTACCGTGGAAGAAGGATCGGAGCCCGAAGCGTTCTGGGACGCCCTTGGAGGCATGGGCGAGTACCCTAAGTTGTCAGAGGCGGAGGAAGTCTCGCAGGAACCCCGTCTGTTCCAGGTGTGTTTGTGCGTCCTTTTGAATTAGCATCGACCGCGCTATTTGGCTGACCAATTGTGCGGTCAACCGTTCGTGGTCGTAAGATGGCTTAGCCTTCGTCATTGGCTACGTGCAGCGAGAGTCCTTATTGTACTAGCCTACACTCCCCCCCCCCCTTGCCTACTCGCGCCGCCGTTGCCATTGCGATGGGGCCCCACGTACAATGTCCAATCCTGATCCGATCCGATAGGCCGTTGCTCTCTTTCGGGGAAGACCGTATCCGTTTTGAGGTATAACCCCTCATCTTGTCCCTGCCTACATCCGTTGTTGCAACAATCGAACCACCGTCTTGGAACCACTCGAAGTAAACGTCTCTTGTCATCAATTTCCTTCCCGGCTGTGATAAACGGTTTGTACGCGTTCGTCGCTGTGGCTGTGATATGTGTACCGTTTTCATGCTATCAAACGGGCCGGTTCGTGCTATGGTACGTTTACCGAATCACAACCTTTTTCATGCTATGACACGTGCCGTTTCATGCTGTAATACGTGCCGCTTCATTTCGTCACCATGTCATTTTCAACAGGTCTCGAACGCCACCGGCAAGCTGGCGGTAACGCCCGTGTGCAACTTCGACCAGAGCGACCTGTGCGCCGATGATGTCATGCTCCTCGACACTGTGTCCTCCGTCTTCGTGTGGGTCGGCCCACAGGCCAACGAGACAGAGCGATCAGAGGTGTGGTATTTATCGTATCCCTCGTCGCGGTGTGAAATGGTATTTTGTTGTTTGGCGTCTGCGGTGCGGTATGTTGCATTTTTTTGCAAGCCATTCGGTCGCCAAGTCTAGTTTTCCGGCCCAAAGAAGGCGGTCGTCCGCTGTGAGACATGTTGCGATGAATTGGGCCCGTCGGCCCGCCAGTGTCTCAATAGCCATCAACAACAGCCCGTGGCTGATTTGTCGCCCTCCTACGTCCCCGAGCAGTCTCAGTTGTGCTCGTCCTTTGCCTAGTGTAAAATGCAAGGACAGTGATGTTCCAGCAACAAGGCACTTGGCCGGTTCCCCACAAACTGGTATCTGTCAGTCGCCTGTCCGCGTTGGTAAATAAATAGCCAAGAATCGCATGATTGGCACGAGCCGTTCATCCGACGAGCACTCCTCCGCGTTAGGTACTTCAACCCCCCTCGCCGCTCATTTCGCGAACCCCCCGCGTCCTCCTCCCGTGTCCGGCGTATGACATGATGACAAGTCCATGAGCGTAGCCCAGCAGTACATCAACACGGCCGCAGCCCGGACACACNCCGTATTCGGCCGAGCAGTCCATGAACGTAGCCCAGCAGTACATCAACACCGCATCGGACGGCCGTAGCCCCGACACGCCCGTGCTCCAGGTGGCGGCAGGCAACGAGCCCCCCCTCTTCACGCAGCACTTCCGCGGGTGGGACCCGCTGCTCACGGATAAGAACACCTTCGTGGACCCTTACCAGGCCAAGCTGGCGGCCGCCAAGGAAGAGGAGGTGCGTTTTTTTTTTTTTAGTAGGACGTCAATTAATTTGGAAGGTTGTTCTAGGTCCACTGTCACTTTTTTTTTTTTTTCTTTCTTGAAAAGGTGTTCCCCTCTTTGGGTAATTGGCTTGTTGTGACCACGGAAGGCGTCTGCGTCGGTTGGACCAATGCAGATGCTGGGAGGTGCTGGGTAGAGGTCGGAAGGGTTTTCAATGTCAGGACAACACGTGATCATGGTCCCTCCGCGGTGTGGTGTGTGTGCCGTGTAAGAGTGGTAGGGTCTTGCTCATGCGTTGTCGCACCACCCCGCCCCGGTGGGATTGGCCATCGGTGATCGGACCTGTGGGAACAATGCTCCGTCCTCTCGAGGGGACGCGTGGACAATGATCTATCCGTTAAGGCATGCCAAACACGCTTACGCCCCCCTCCCCCCTCCCCTTTTCCAGTGCGCAGACGGCGCTCTCGTGTGTCGCGTCTTGTGTGCGCCCGCATGTGCGAGCGCTAAATAGCAAGCCCTACCAACCTATTCGTTCGAACAACCTCCATTTGGCCGTTTTTTCTCTCTACAGCAGTAGCAAGGCATCGTCCTAACAATCCACACGGCTGAGTTTGTTTCTTTCTGGGCGTCTGTCTGCCTGTCTGCCTATCTGTCTGTCGGCCTCTGTCTCTCTCCTTGTATGCTTGGCGTGTTTGTGCTTCATTTTTCCCTCTTGTGTTTCATTTTTCCCGCTTCTTGTGCAGGCGAAGATGGAGGCCAAGTATGCCGAGGCTCCCGGCACGATTACCCTGGACGACCTGCCCGCACCACCCGCGAACGGGGCGGCGGCAAGTGGCGGCGGCGGCGGCAGCACCGCATCCCGGGATATCACCCCGCCCTCCGCGGGAATGACCGTCCCCTACGCTGAACTCAAGGGGTGAGAAGAGAAAGGGGCGGGATGCTGTCAAGTATGACGCGCGGTGATTGTAGCGTTAGAGAATGGCGGTCCCGTACGCAAGGGGTGAGAAGTGAATGGGGCGGGATGGTGCACGACGCTGCTAGTGTTGGAGAGAACGGCAGTCTCCTACGCTGAACTCAAGGGGCGAGAGGAAAGAGAAAGGAGTGGGGTGGTGTCAAGTATGACGCTCATAGTTCTAAGAGAATGACGGATCCCTTGTGCTGAGTTCAAGGGGTGAGAAAAGAGAAAAGTAGGCATGATATCAACAAGAGCTTGCTAGTGTTTAGAGACACCTCGATAGTTCGGGCGCTAGTCATGCGTGGGTGCCCTGGAGGGTTAGTAAGGGCGGGGTTCAAGGAGCTATCTTAGAATAGGCGGTACTCGTGTCGTGTTTTCCCTGCCTTCTTGGCGTGAGGCGCACCGTGGGGGGGCAGACCACGCACAACGGTTGAGACGGACCACAAAGAAAAGGGGTTGTGTACTGTAGGGGCGTAGGGTGGCGAGCTCGAGTTCGTGTCCCGATATTGCCGTGCATGGGAACGATAGCATCTCGCAGGTGGTCTGTTCATATGCATTATGTCCCCTGAACTCTTCTGGCCCTAACCGTTCATTGCTGGTATAATATAGTTTTGCCTTATTACACGTTCATGGCCTTGAAATGTGGTTGTTGAGCCCCCCCCTCTCCCCGCACGCACAGTTCCGTATCCGGGTGACCCACAACTGCTGTGGAACGGAAGTGGACGCTGCCAGCTGTTGGATGTCCCGTGAAGCCTAACCTTCGCGTGGTACTAATCCACCGCTAACATGTTCATATTTCCGTGTGCCCCCCTCCCCTCCCCTTCCCGGCCGAATTGGCACACAGGTATGGCACGGAGGTGGACGGGGTGGACCCGTCCTGTAGAGAGCAGTACCTCGACGACAAGGAATTCGTGGAGGTATTCGGCATGTCCAAGGCTGATTTCGCGAAGCAGCCCAAGTGGAAGCAGGTGTCGGCGAAGAAGGCCAAGGAGCTATTCTAAGGAAATTCTCTGGTCCGAACCAAAGGTTCTCTGACGGTTGTAGAGCCAATACATGAAAGGTTCTAGAAGAGAACCCATCCGGCTCTTGTCGCAGACGTGCGAATATGAGGTTGCCTGGGCTTGACCTTCGAGAGAAGAGGCGGGGGTTGTCTGGGGATTTGAAACTGTAGAGGTGTTCTGGAAGGAAACGCTGAACGGGGTGACTCTCAATGGGAATACCAATGAACAGCAGGTGGTGCAAACTGCTTCGACTGTCCGAAACGAGTCAAAGTCAGTGCCTCTCCTGCTATAGACGTAAATCAGTGAGACTTGGGGGGGTATTGGAAAAGGGGTGACGAGCGGGGCAGGGGGGGAACCTGTGTAGAAGACACTACATGCTCTTCAATGCCTATCATTTTGTGTATTGACGAGCAAGGTTTCCTTGTTGACTAACGCAAGCAATCGATCACCCAACGAGATAAGCGCGTTAAGTGCAAACCCCACCTTCGTATATCAACTCGAAGGCCAATCTGTTCCCTGGTTGTAGTGCAGGTTTCCATTCAACATCTTTGTTGTGTTGATGTCGAGCCGTTTGGCGGGCTAAGCAGGGTGCAGTAGATAGTGATTACGCCCCGATTTGAACGTTTTGTCCTATGGGTCCCATTCTGCTGCATCCATACGTGGCTGAAGAATTGAGCGGAAGACAGGTGAAGGCAAAAGGTCGGAGACCGTTTGAGGCATGGGCACGATGGGATGGATTTCTCCGTTGAGATGGGAATGCTTCCCATGGAATACCACTTTTTGCTGGTGCTTTTGCCTGTTTTTGGTCGAGGTTTGACTGTTGTACTCTTTGCGGCGCACAATTTCCTTGTGTCCGGGGAAGTGCTACCGGGGGAGGGGGGGAGGAGGGGGGCGAAGAGTGTGAAGCGATGAAGAGGCCGCTGTTAGTTTTGTTCTTGGTGCCAAGAATATTCGGGCCATCAGCCGGGGTGCGTGCCTTGAAAGTATGCTACTGGAGTTAAGGGGGAGAGGGTGAAGATATGGGAATCCGGGCCAATGGTCGATGCTGGATCACTTGGTTTTTGAACAACTGCTTAAAAAATGCCATCGACCAGAAAGAAATCAAGAAGAGCCGATATCGTAGCTTTCAAACCACGGGTTCGTGATATCATGAGGTGTTTCATGGGGCGCGTTTGCTGCTGTACAAGTAGGCGATACGTGTACTTGTAGTGCACGCTAGAGCTTCAACGGAAGGCAGGCTGTAGGCTGTACTCGGCAGGATGCCCAGGTGTAGGTCAGTGGGTAAACCCATGACTGTGTGGGGGTGGGACGATCACGTTTCATGTTGGCAGTGACGCACGAGTCTTGGTTGCCCCTGGGCGACTCAAAGCAGAGTGGAATCTGATTGTAAACATGAGTACAGTACAAGTATTATGCTGCTGCCTCCTACGCATGGCTCTCACTGCTATCCATCGCGGATATCATTTTCAAACGGTTCCAAACTAAGAGCCGTTTCGCGCGGAACCTGCCACTGAAGTTCGACCGAACACCTTTGCCCTCGACAGCAACCCCGCTGAGCCATACATCGATGCGTGTGTACGTACGTGCGGCGCTCTAGAGGAAGAGCACAAAGAAAATTGGCCAAAACACCGCCGCAAGGCCGCAAGGCCGCAAGGCCCTAAGACCGCATAGCTAAGACCGCACTCCGTGTGCGTGTGTGCGTGCCCCTTCGTCTCGTCGCTTCGCTATTCCGCCGCGTTTTCGATTCCGCCGCATTTTCGCGAAAGACGTTCAATGTTCAATGTCAAGGTGGTGTTGCCGCGCTGCCTACAGGCGCCATGTAGCTGAGGGTGGAAGCCGGTGCTGGGGAGAAAGGACTCAAGAATTGTGCCTGGCCTATGTACGACGACAGCGAAGGACTTGGTCAGACTTTTTTTCACAACAGTCCCGAACAGCGGAAGAGATTTATATCGACATGGCGCCAACTCGAGACCATCACTACTCGCAATGTCGAGAGGAGGTAGAGGACCTCATCGAGCTACGGAGTGGAGTCTGGGACGAAGAACTGGTCCTCCAGAATTGCCGCGCGCGGTTTCTAGCCGGCAAGCCGTACATTGGGGCTGGGAACGTGACGATTGCAGTCAATCCTTGCAGGAGTCTCAACGAACTTTACGACAGGGACATGCAGGTAACTGCTGCAGTGGACTTACTCGCCGTAGACGGTACTTCAGCAGTAGTTTTCATCGTTTCGTTCTCGTTCATCCCACACCACGTAATCCGTGCATGGGACTGCTTTCTGTGGTTTCACGCGTTCAATATGGCATACACTTGCAGTTCAGGTACATGAAGTACAACAGAACCGATCTACCAGTGCACGTGTACGCGACGAGTGCCACCGCGTATTGGCGGCTATCCGAGGGCCAAGGCCGTCAGACCATCCTATTGGCCGGGGAATCCGGCTCCGGAAAATCTTCCACTGCGTCCTTTCTCTTAGAGCACCTCGTGGAAGCCGCAGAAATGTCGAGGCGCGTCTTCGGGACGACGGCTCAGAATGAGAGGGGGGGGATTTCTGGCGATATGACTACCGCCGAGGATGACGTTGGAAACGAGACGGGGCGTTTGAGAAAGCTGGTGGCAAGCCGAAGGGTCATTTTAGAGACGTTCGGCAATGCTGGAACGGTGAGTGGGGACGAAGTAGCATGGTTGTTGTCTGCGTGTCCTCTTTCTGATTGTCCTGTGGAGAAACGGAATCGTAGCGGGAGGCATTGCAGACCCGGGGGGATTTGACAGGCATGTGTTGCCCCCTCGTGACGCACGTCCCGCGTTAATTCTGTAGAGTACACGAAATTGTTGTGATTGCTGTGCTTGCGATGGCGATCCATCACATGTTTGGTCTGCTCGGCAACCTGTCTCGTTCGTAGCCTTTGAACGAGAGCAGCAGTCGCTTCATGGCGCACACGAAAGTCTTGTACTCCAAGCATGCGTTTCAAGTGACCGGAATACAGGACAGCACACTCCTTCTGGAGACGTCAAGGCTTTGCAACACCCGCCGGGGCCGAGGAGAAAGGACTTTCAACGTCTTCTACCAGGTTTGACGGTGTACCATCCTTACCTCGTCTAGCACAGGGCCTTGCGCTGAAGTCGCATCGCTTGAACGAGGCCCGAACTGCGAATAGCCCTCCTTGTATGTGTCGTGGTACGCCTATCTCGTGGTGTATTGCCTTTTGTGTCCGCTGGAGACGCAGAGCTGTGCAGTACGTGCTCACGTGTTGACACATTGTACACCACGTCATCTCAAAGACAAATGACAAGGGTACGTTTGAATCGACAATATTCCGGCACTCACCCACATACATACACCCACGCGAAGCAGTTTAGTCCTCTCACGCGTTCATTACACCTCAATCTTCATCCGAACTCCATGCTATGTTGCGTTCATCCACAGATGCTAGGTGCAGACGAAACCATCAAGATGCGCCTCCGTCTCGGTGACACAACAGCGGCAGACTTCGCTGTGACCGCCTTCGAGCCTGCGTCAAGTCAAGGCGGAGATACAAGCGCTAACGATGCTGCCGGTGCCGTTTCGGCATGGTCGAGAGGGTCAATTGAAAATGAAAGTATTCGAAACACGGAGGGGTGCGCAGGGGCCCCTAGCGTTTCTGTGCCAACACGCGGGTCCAGCGGCCCAAGCGGGGCCGGGGGGCTGCACAAGACTCTGGATTCGATGGCAACGATTGGGGTGTCAGCAACACATCGGGAAAGCACATTGCGGGTCCTATCGGCCGTGCTACACCTTGGCCAGGTAGGTTGGTGGCGCTAAAGGTAGACTTGAAGACGGGCGGTGCTTTAAAAGGGTACTTGTACGCGTCGTGGAATATGTTTTTGGCAGGACAGATCAACTGCGTTCACTCCAAGGGTATAGTGACACCACGCGGCAAATACTCCAGTTTTCATGCAATCTTTCTTGTCTTCCAGCGCTTGTGCGCACCCTCAGAAGCACGGCAGTGCTCTTGTGAATACACAGCACTTCGAGAGTCGCGTCAACCTTTTTGGGGGGCGCAGGTCTCTCCGTTGCCCTTGTCTTTGTGCCAAGAGTATTCCGCACCGGGCAGCTTCTCGTGCCCCGGCATCTGACGCCAAAGCGCTATAACCCGTTCCTCCTCATTCGTTGCTGTTCATTGTTGTTCCTCTACAATACACCGCGCGCACCTTGGAGATCGAGTTTGTGGACGTCGAAGAATTAACTAATCGCGACTTCGGAGTAATAGAGGTGAGCCCACAAGGGGTAGAAAAGAGAGCCGTTTTGCCTTTTACTTACCTTCAGTAACCCCTAGTCTGCTGGAAGTTGCGGCTTCCCCACACTTTTATTTTCTAGGCCGATGACTACGCCTCATTTTAGTTGCTGCCGTTGAAGCGCGCCTTCTTGAGCAGACGGTTTATGGTGGCCGAGGTGGGGCAAAAATGAAGAGGATGGCGGGCTCATCGACACCAAAGGTCTTCCGGTTGACAAATCAGGTTCCGCGATAAGGGTTGATATTGGTCACGATCCTTTTAGGGCCTTCCCACCATACTCGGGCGCCACAAAGCATAAAAGTACATAAACCTAAGGCATGATTCAAGCATGCTTGAAACGAATTGAGCATTATTGTCTAAAATTGAGCACAAACGACAGTTTTGGGCACATTTTCCAGCGTAGTTGGCCAAAAAAGACAGGGCACAAACTTCCATGATGGGGAAGGCCATACACTATCTTTCCACGTGCTGTTGTCGTGGGCCTTCTTACGACATGTCTAGATACGTGATAAGGCGCCTCTGGAGGCAGCGAGCGCCATGCTTGGCTGCAGCAAGCACCATCTGCGCAATGCGCTGCTCACGCGTAGTCTCGCCGCCGGAGGGGAGGGAGGCGCAGCGTTTGTACCAGGGGGGGGGTCGAGAAGGACGCGGGGGGTCGTGGAAACGCTGACCGTGCCATTGGACAAAACCCAGGCCTTGAGGGCGAGGGACAATCTTGTCCAAGAGGTTTGTCCATGTGCGCAGTCAGGTAGAAAAAACAGGCGCCGTTGACATATTTAGAGCACCGATGAAACCTTCGCCTAGAAGAGGCACTGAGGTCTTGCGGCAAGGTCGTAACCCACGGCAGCGAGGGACAGTGTTAAATTGACATGTTCACGGGATGCATTTTTCCCGCTAAGCGTGGTGGCGCTGACGCCGACATCGTCACTATTGCTCGGCAAGCGCGTCTTGAAACTGCTCGGCTTTGTTGCCGCCTGCGCTCGCGTTCGATGCCCAGGTATACTTGAGGCTGTTCAGATGGCTAGTTAAACAAATGAACGCTTGCACGGGCCTCCCATCTGATGAAAAACGGGCCGGCGTCAGCTCCATAGGGCTCTTGGACATGTTTGGGTACGTTCGTGAGAGAGAGGGAGGGTGGGGGTGGGCGGGGATGCCAGGATTGCGAGGGTCACTTTCGCTTCGTGCTGCGTGACTGCAAAATCGATTTTCACGGTACAGGAACACGTCCCGAATCGCATGGAACCGCAAAAGGCAGCAAGATGCTGCTGTTCTTTCCCCTTCACCCCTGAGTCGGTGAAACATAGTGCGGTGGTGTGGGAGGCGGCGTTGCGCTGCCGCATGGTACATAGGGGATGGACCAGACCATACTCCAGGCGCTCCCATTTAGGTCGGTCGAAGAAGTCGTTGGCAAACTCTGACCCCCCTTCGGTGCGCCCCCCCGCTTCACTTGACGTGCACATGTTTAGGTCGGAAAGCCTCGACCCCAGCGGGTTCGAGCAACTCTGCAAGAACTATGCTGTCGAGAAAATTCACGGAAAGTTCCTTCAGGACGAGGTATACCACGGGAAAGCCAAGGCCGGTGACTCCGGGGGAACGGCCCGAGCTAAGGTGGAGAGCAATCGACGGCTGTTGGCTATGTTTGAGGGTGAGCGAGAGAGGGAGAGGTGTAGCACGGTCTGTGATGATACACATTGAACTGCTTTTATTGTACACAAAAATTGACGCTCAATGACCGATTGTGCAGATTTTTTACGACGGGTTTACTCTCAGGAAAGGTGCAGTCTCGGCGAGAACGGACACAGAATGCACCCTTAGTTTCAACAGCCACAGGCGACAACTTTCGGACGAATCCCGTAACGCTAAAGCTACCGAATCGAAAGAAAATCCTCGGAAACTGCACATATTAAGACCAACCGCACGGGATTGCCCTCACCCATTCCCGGCCGTGCTGTTTGGTCTTGCACTGAAACTCACCATGCAGTTCGGTGTGTGCTTGCGTGGTGGAACGCTCTTGTGCGCAAATCACATCACATACTTTCGTGTTTTCTACTGATTGTTTCAGTCCATCCCGCGCGATACTGCGTAGCCTCACGCCTGCCTATGCTAGTGACCCCAAGTTAGTTTCCCTGGGCACTCCTTTGGACAGGTCCACTGGGCTTGATTCGTCTCGCCGACGACGAGTGCCTCTGCCCAGAAGGAAACGGCCAGTCTTTCGTGAACAAGCTCCTTCTCGCAGCTACGGAAGAAGGGACAGGGCAAGATTCACGGGGCGATCGTGGCGGTTGTAGGGGTTGCTCTCGCTTGGTCTACTTGGGAGACGGAGACGAAGACTGCCGCTGTCGGGGTAGTGCGGTCACCGGAGGCAGAAACAGCGCGTGGCCGGCGTGCATCGACCCGAACAAGTCTGGGAACAGGCTAACAAACTCCTGTTTTCACATCAAGCACTTTGGAGGTAAAAAAACAAAGGCTGGATTGCGGCTTTTCTTGTTCAAGTCCTCGGTCGTGTATGGTACGTGGGACTCCTTGTTTGTTGTTCATCCACAGTCGTTTCACAGCTGAGTATTTCGTCAACGGCCGAGGAAGATAAATAACTAGGGTGCGTATTAGTGTGTGCACATCGAGCTCCCTTAAGTGACTAAGTCAGGCTGCCTTCGATGCGGTCTCTTTATTACCGCGTAGGGAGTAAGTGAAAAAGTGGGTGTCTGACTTTGACCGCCATTGGTTTCATGACAGAGGTTCACGTGCTGTTGCAATTGCTATCCCATTCACGTTCATATATTTCGCGGTTGGGCTGAGTGGATGTACGCGACGTGCTGTCACATCGAAAGTCCTGTAGGTAATTGCATCAAACGCCCTGAATTTGAGCATGAGAGTGGCGCCAGGTGTGTTCGTATCCCGCAACAAAGAACAAGCAATCTGTTGTCTGTGATGCTTCTAAAGGAAAGCCATTGATGGCCATAGCTTTCAGACCATTGACGAAACGACGCGGCCTGACCTCTTCAAGATATTGGTGAATCGTAGTGGCCCCTCGTTCTCCCAGCTCTGTTCTCGGAACCAAATCACGTTCAGTTTCCCCAACGTCAGCAACCATTATTGCTCTCTACTCCAGCCCACTTCCCAAGACGCTCCTGGTGTTGACGTAATGAAAATTACAAACGGACCCAACTCATCCGCCTGTTTCTGCTGCGAGAGTTTCTGCTTCATCCCTAACGTTCCTCAGCAAACGATTACGTCGTGGTGTCGCTTGTCTCCGCACGTGATTGCAGGACCGGTGCGATACACCGCGGCCGACCTCTTGGAGAAAAACAAGGGCGGGGTCGGGCAGGTTTTGCTTGATCTTCTTGACGATGTGTGCACCAACGACTTGGTTGGCAAGGGGTCGAGGAGTAGCCGCTACAGGTCGGTAGAAATAGGGAAGGTTTGGCGTTTCAAATACTGCTGTGGATTGTTGAACGTCATCCTACCTGTTGAATGCAAGAAGATGTTACGTATGGCATGTTCCGGGCAACCGTGTCTCGTTGAATTTCTGCGGTATAGAGCAATGGCCTGTGTGCCGAAACCACCAGGCCAGTGAGAAAGAACCAGTAATTCTGAACACCTTGACTGGCTCCACCGTCCCAGCGGGAAACCAACGCTGACCACAACACAGGAGATAGATAATAAACACACGAACAAGAGGCATACCACATGTTACGTCCCCTACCCTCACTGGCAAGTATGGTACACACCTCATATACAGGGATGGGCGCCGGGCCAGCACGGTGGATGGCGCCGCCGACCATCGGAGGCAAAACTTGCACCAGCGTAGGCTCAACGAGTCCGTCCTGTCGCAGCACCGACGCCAGCTCACGGAATTATTGCGCGAAATCGAGGACACCAAGGTATGCTCGGGTCCCCACCGTGATCCGTGCGGGAGTTTGGGCTAGGTTTTCATCGACGAGTTCATAGACGGTTGTTTCAGCGCGGCAGCGCGTCTCATCGATTGCCCTTGGAGTGGGGCGAGGGGCAGACGGAATTCCCGTGGTACCGATAACTTTTCTTAATCCCGTGAGTTCTTCAGCATCAACTCAACGGCAAACGTCAAACGAGAACCAACCAGCTGTCTACAGTGGTTTCCTCGAGATAGACCATGATTTTGTGGGAGTTTTCATTTTCTCTGCGCTCTGCACCGTGTTTCTTTCTTCGCTTCTTAGCCGTATTTCGGTAGGAAACATGCGTAGAGGAGTCACTTATTTTCCCGGTCCTTCAACAGGTTCGTCACATTGTCTGCATCAAGCCAAATGATCAGCTTTCTCCCAGCTTCCTCGACGGCCGAAACCTCCTTCGACAGCTGTGCTCGGCGGGAGTAGCAGCAGCAGCAGAAAGAAGCATCCTCTCGTTGCCATCCGGCCGAAGGGTGGACAAAGAAGCGTTCTTCAACGACTTCAGGGTTGTCCCGGGGGCGATACAGAGGTACCGTGTACGCTCCTCATAACCGCAATAAACCAATTATCCACCTCTGAGAGCCGATGGCATGCCTCGTTGGTTGACGTTTTGCAGATGTTATTCCTGACTAGTTTCGGCTTTCTTGAACGTGAAGTACTAAACTGCACCTGCGTCGAGTTATATGCACCTTCAAGTATGATTTTTTCTTTCGCCCCATGTTATTGCCACGCCTTTATCGCAGGGTCTTACACAACGAGGGTAATTGCTGCAAGCTGGGTCACGGTACCATATTCTTCAGGTGTGCTTGCGCGCGCTCCCAAACTGTAAAGTGCGGTGTTAGCGTGCGGTGGTGTTTTTTCCAACTATTTACGATGAGAGCTCCGTCTTATCCTTACATGCGTGTGATGGAATGCTAACAGCAGTGCCTGCGGATTGCCTCCAACAGGAAAGGTGTCTGGGAATCCCTTGAGCGACGAAGGGAAGCGGTTGAACGGCGGGGGTGCGTCGCAATACAACGGGTATGGCGACAACACGTCCGTGGCGTCAGAGCCAATGCCGTAAGTGGTACCCAATCCTCCGACGTTCCCACGTCGTTCCCACCGGTTGCCGTCAAGTGTGATTGGAAGAAAAACACGCGCATTAGAGGTTTCCATGTCGGAGTTCAGCCGGGCGGGGGCATCAAGATAGAGACCAACGGTGTTGTGTACAACAAACCGCCAAGTGACAAGCAGAGTGGTTGCGAACGGGGCTGTGCTGTGATGCTGTGCACGATGCGAGACAACCCCGGGGAACGCGCGAGTTTACCGATGCTCCACACATCATAGGAGCGGACGTACAATGACACGAGGCGCGATCCTGCGGTCTCACTCGGTGATACGAGCGGGAGAATCGTTTGTTAGCGTTTTATGACCTGTTGTCACGTTTGCTAACAAAGGAATGGCAAGCGCACCTTGCGGTCGAAGCGGAGAAGAGAGCTATGGCTGACCGACGACAACGGCAACTCGAGGAGGAAGGGAAGCAGGCGTGGGAGAAGGAAGCGAGCAAGAAAGCGAGCCAGATGGAACTGCAGGCACTCCAGGAGCGGGAAAAGCAACAACATTGGCAGGAACACCGCTTGCAATCCGTCACCGTGCTGCAAGAGACCCCGTGCAGGTATTGATCACAGACTCAAACGTAGAGCTTTTGCACCGTAGTAGCAGTTGGTGTCAATCCTAGACAACACGAATGCAGCAGAAACCTAACAAGTCTGGCAATGCGGTTTGCCTTCTGGCACATTTTTCACCGTGATGATGCGATGAAGTACACGGGTGCGTCTCGGTATCAGCGCGGCCTTGCATATCTTCTTCGATTTATGAAAAAAAATGTCACAACTACAAACACGTCCCGAACGGACATAGGCGCGCCTTTGGCATCAAGCTTGTATCGGTATCGTCTAAGCGTCGATTGAGTAAACAAGCACCCAACAGTGGAGACACTTTGCCACATACGTGGTACCGTTTGGCAGGCCGGCGGTCTTCGATTCCTCACATGCGAACGTCGTTCGAGAGACAAAGAGGGCGCAAGAGGCAGCACAGGCCGCCACCGCGGGACATGACAGAGCGTGGAGATTGCATTGCCAAGCGCTGGAGAAGGAAGCCAGGCTAGAGGCAGGGACAGCTGCGGCGGAGAGAAATATGCTGGATGATACCAACAGGTACGGGGAGCGCTTGCGAAGGCGATATTTGCATTTTTTATCAATATTTACTTCTCTGCGAGCTCGGGTTAGGGATCGGCTCTAACGCTTGATGCACCCCGAAAATTGCTTCATAATATACCGAATAGTTCCAAGAATTAAACAATAAACAGTCAGAAGCTGTCGCTATTCGTAGCCTTCAGTGTGTGTGGCTGGCCGCAGACAGGGAAACGACAGTTCAACCACAAGAACAGACTCAGGCCTTACTACGCGCTACGCGACCATGTGATTCATGCTAGCGGTGTGCACTAAAACGGCGAAAGCTCGTGCGAGCCGCCAAGCGCATACCGTTGAAAGACGTTGAGGCTAGATCAGGAAAATGACTGTACGCCCCGGCCGTCTGAGGTGCACAAGTCGACCTCAACACAAACCATGGCGTTTTCAACCTTCATCAGGATGAACTGCACACCACCGCCGGTAGTTCAAGCCTGGCCAATAGATGACGATGTCAACGAAGAACGGCTTGAAGAGACGGCCGCAACGGAAACCGCGCACCGCCATCGAGGTGCCTTGCCCATGTGCTCGCCGATACCGGATCGATCGGAGGTTGAGCGGGCTGGGGCAGGGGCCTCTAGCGGTAGTGCTAGTGCCCACGTGGCCAAACGAGTTGTCCCGCGACTCGCCGGTCTCGCGGACTACGCTATGCGGGCGTTTCTCACCGAGTGAGTGACGGCTCGTGATACGGTAACTACGAGATCTAGGCTGAAGATAAATGCTAGCCGAATGTCGAGGCTTGAGAGACACTTTTCTTCGGGATAGGGATTTGACGATTTTGGTGACGAGACAACACAGGCTGTTTTCGCATCGGGAAAACAAACTACCGCGGACCAGAGTTTTGAGACCGAGCCTTGCCGTCCGTCACTGCTTTTCAGTACAGTCGTCGATACATTTCAAATTTTGACTCTCAAACGGTGATTTGCTGCCCCGCGACTGCTACCGACGACGGTGGACTTGCAGACCGGTGCCCAAGAAGTACGGGGCGATCCGGTGTCGCGTCGAGCGGAAAGAAGGTGGTGGGTGGAACCCCATGGCGTCATCGGTCTACGGCATGCATCACATAGAGGTGAACATTGTTGTTAGCAGTGCCCGAGATGAACAACCAAAGAACAACGTTTTGACTCGGGTACTCAGAAATTGAGGCCCACCGCCAGCTTTCGCCTAGACGTCAATCGTTGGGGCACTTAATCAAGCCCCAACCAAAAGGATGTTGACGGCTTTGACAGCCCTCTTTTTCGCTGGATTCCAACCGAATCATCAAGTCGGTCACAGTACCTCTCCATGCGAACCCCCCGATGTCCGCAGGGTGGCATGGTGTTCATGATGTCGGCGACACGACAACCTTTGAGCCGCACCGCAAATTACTACATCAGCGCGAGCCCCTACTTGGAAACGACCAAAGACACGGTAAGATAATGGGTCATGTAAATTCGGATTGTGTGGGGGTGATGGCGTAATATGTACATGCTCTGTGTGGGGAAAGTTATTAGGGTGTGGTATTGGAGTGTCTCTACGTCACGCACGCGGTGACACCGTGTTGAGAGCGGAACAGCGGGGGAGGAGCAGACACATGCGTGCACTCTCGAAAAATGTCGATATTCGCCAAGACACGGCGAAACAAGTATGTCTGCCGATGGTTGCCACGCTCTGAACCACCCTTTCGAGGTACTGTACCATTCTTGCTCTAAACACCTTGGGTTTTCATGACTTCTCCCGGATGTGTTCAATCCCGGCTGCTCATCCGGTGGCTTGTCCTTCATCTCAGATAGACTACATGGGGAAATTGCGTGCACGCGATGGTAGCGGCCGCGCCTACGTTCTGTATGATGACGGAGTTTCTCCCAGGTGAGTGAGTGAAACATTTAATTAACATTACCTAGTATATTAATTTCCTGTATGAACTGCGACGCGGGTAAACACGCGAAAACAGCGCTTGCTTGCAAAGGCCACCCGTCAAATAAAATTGACGTGTGGGTGTGCTTCGTGTAAGAAAAATCGCTGTTTTCAATTTATGGCAAGACGCCTACAATCTGTCGCATCAAGCGATGGTCTGATTCAGCCCTGATATCGTTTTGGGTATCCATGAAGAAGTAGTTGCTGTCGATCAGCCTGGAGACTCTCAAATTGACCGCGTCCTCGTCATTGACAACCAATCATCACGTACGTATGTTACACGGCATACGTCACTACGGCATCCCGTTCAGCGCAGTAGAGAGCTTGACACGGCACTGATTCGATTGTTGTTCGTTAGAATTCGAAACGAGGTATGGCCACCCGTACGTTCGGCAAGCTGCGCTGCGCAATAACTTTTCTTGTAGCGGAAGGTGACAAAGAATATGTACGAACGTACGAACGGAGCGCTATATGTTGCAGGTTTTGGGCGCTACGGGTTAGACTGACAGTGTGTTGCAAACGCCGATTCAATCTGGTGTTTTCAGGAGGTCATCGAAAGATCGTCGGCGGGGATTATTCTCAAGAAAGGAACTGGCAAAGGTGGTCTTCTCCGCTACACAAGACGCGGCGGATGGCCCGCGTTCGATGGAGGTATGATAAATGGAGCACAATGTTGAAATTCCATCTGCCGCTCGAGTGCTTTGTCGTTTGGTTCGCTTGTTACTGGCCACGCAAGGCCTTCCGCACTGGTCGTACTTTAATTATACGCCAGTGTGTCTGTCCGGTGGCACTGGCGTCATGTACGATATCTGTCGTACGCACCAACCTCTGTACGGGTGTCCTGGCACAACACTTTGTCGTGTTTAGGCTTTAGTCTACGACATCATCACACTGGGCACGCGTGATTCCAGCACTGAAGTCCACACCGGATGCTTTTGACTTGGAGGCATGGCGTGATCGCCAAGTACCCCGCGGAGAACACGTCCCCTTCCCTTTCCCTACCCAATCGATGATTTTCAATTCTCCTGCTACCTGCCACGAAGATGTTATCGTTTCGTTTCCAACCGAAAGCCCGTATGTGCTCTTGCCCGTTTTTCCGAAGGCTTTTGTTCCTAGTCCCGCGGAACGGTATCAAGTGGGCGACGTTGAAACATACAACCACCCTTGGGACGACGTAATTCATCTTCGCGATCGTAAGCCGCGCTACGACCGACATGTGAGTCAGGGATTCAGGATGTAATCAAGAAATGGAGAAACGTGTTCACACGCAGCGTGAGGCCGATCCGAAACATCCGTCACATGCATGCACCAGCAGTGTAACCCACAACCTTTCGGGTTCGAAAGTGTACGGTGCTCGCATTTCGGTTGGATAGCAAAAGACTGACGGCTGGTTGAATCACCAGTTCAAGATTTATTTATCACCTAGCTATCATGATGTTGTGCTGCCTTGTGACTTGTTGTGCCCTGTACTATTCCCGATTTACGCACACGTCAAGGAACGGGTAACATCCTCATCACGGCGCAAAGGATTGATTCATATTGGAACCAACCGTACGTGACAGTTTTGGGACATATTCTTGCCTCTACGAAACACGGACTATGTGCATTAAATGATGCAAATAATAAGCTTGTGCTATCTATCGTGAAAATTCTTCGGATTGCCGTAGGTGGGCGCGTACGTCCTCGACTTCCCCAACTCGACGTCGAAGCTTTCCATCAAAAACGTCCAACTGGTGGTAGCCGACGACCACGCTCGAGGGTATATCGGCGGGGACAACAATAAAAGAAATGTTGTTTGGGAGGATCGTGGCTCCAGGAACATTTCCCGGCGACGTACGTGGGACGTAGATGGGGGCGAACAACGGGGCAAGTGGTGGGCACAAGATACCATGTTACTGTCTTTCGGAAAGTCTGGCATGGACGAGTTTGCCCTGGATTTTAGGTATCCCCTGTCCCCCATGCAGGCGTTTGGCATGGCCTTGGCGGCACTGGACACGAGCGTGTGATGCAAACTTGGATGCGATGTGCTACATGCACACATGGCGTGCCGTGGCATGTGCTGCGTGTACGTACGGTGGAATAATCAATATGCCCAGTGGCCAGGAGGAGCCGACGTGCATATACTCGAAGGCACCTGCATATACTAGTCAACGTGTCCCCTGGGTTGTTGCTTCTTTTTTCGGTAAATGTCAGTAATTGTGGCCATGTTTGCTTGTACCAATACGGGTGTCTCCCGACTTCTTGAGCACTTGGCAAACCAGGCAAATAAAATCGACGTATGTGAGTTCGTGTACGTGTCTTGCAGAAATGAACTTGCCACTACGAAAATGCTACGACCGCCGCATCACAACAACATGCGTGCAACTTCCGTGTAGTTGTTGAAAAGCGCATGAAAAGCGCAAGGTCGAAGGACGTACGCTTTCTTTTCGTCCATGCGAAATTCGCAAGAGCGAAGTGGAGTTCGTTTGACGGCATCCAACAACCCGCCCTGCGGGCCGCGCATGAACGCAGGCGACCTTTTCTGCCTGCGCTGTAGTTTTTGTTCTTGCAACCGCTACTCGACCATGCATCATCGACACACACCTCGACGGCATCGCTCCTTCTACACAGTTCGGGTATGATTGATCCTCCATCCTGCCTTGAGTTCACGTATCCCGAGTACGCAGTACTCTCTTCGCCAGCGCGTTGGCCTGTCCAATTTCTGTCCTTCGTGATACACCACCTCAAACGGCGTCGAAAAGCGTCGAACTACAGCGAAGAATTAGGAGGATCCAGGTGTGAGCAAAAACGGCACATGCTGTCCCGTGATGGCCTACATTGCTATTGCAGATCTCATAGAAGCCCCGATCCACCTCTACAACTCAGAAAAGCTTGGAGTGGCGTCTGGATGACGCCCCCGGCGCACAACTGGAGGCAACTCAGTCTGCGCACGAAACAATCACAGCGACGGTTGGAAACAATCAAGGCATCTGACCCCTCCTCAAGGCAACAACCAGGGACTTATCAAGATCTCTTTCATATCCGTATCATTCGGGGTGCTCGCCGGCAAATAATGACATCAGGAGGGTCGAGCGCACGTACGTGCTGGTGTCCCGACGAACAGGTTTCACTGCGTTCCGTCAGAAGCAGTGATTCCGCCTTGAGCTGTACCAGCAAGAGTGGACGCACAGGCAACACACGCCGAGCGATGAAACGGGAGTGAAGAAGGGATGCTGCTGCTGGAATCCGATCCTGTTCGAAAAGCTCTACCAAACAGACGTCCTGCTAGTCTAAGAGGACCTGGTATTGAACAACATCAAGATTTCTTCGTGTCGTGCTCAGCATGCCACACGTTCGATACCAGGGTGTGGTGTTTTCGAAAATAGCGGCGTAGGGGCCACATAGCGCGGAGCGTGGAAACAGCATTTCACTTCTCGCAGGCAACGCGCCGTACACAGTTTGTCAGAGCTACGACAAGCTGCAGCTGGAACCAGCACGTCATGACGTTTGAAGCACACGGGCTCGTCAGCGTTTGGAGCGCCTTTTGAACTTGAAGAGCCCAAGGAGCTTTCCGTTTCTTAAGGGTTGAAAAGCACGACCACATCCTGTTTCGGGACGGTAACTGGACCCTCAACTACAAGCAGCAAGGTAAATAACAAACGATACCTTTCCTGGCGAAGGCAGAAACAGACAACACTAGCTTGCGGCCTCGTTCGGTTGGGGTGTGAGCTAGAAGAACCCACGCCGTGCGCTTTCGGGTTCTGCTTGGGCATGTTAAGCCAAGGGCAAGCCGATACACTTGTCGCACCGACATCTATCTCGGCAGCTGGATATGATCGAGGGCGTGAACCACACTTTCGGAGCGTATTGAACCGCACGAGACAGAAATCGATCGTAGGTGAGTAGGTGTCGGCCGACGAAAACGCACCTGCATGTCCCACGCCATTTTCGTTCAAAAGTATTTGACAACCGTACGAAAGACTCCGCAAGACTCCAGCACCACCAGCCTAGTCACCCACTCGCTCCAGATTCCGCTGCCCGTGCTCTGTCCTCCGGCCGCGGTTGCGCCTACATCCTGAGCGCTATCGCCCGGCCGGCACACTTTGGTGCTATGGCCACCCTCTTCATCCAAGTGGACCCTTCGGCCGCTGACTCTCATTTCGCTGTTTCTTGTAGGACACCTTCGTTGGGCCGCTATCCTCTCCGCCTCGGACCGCGCACGAAGCATGATGACCCAGCCGCGGCGGCGCCATGCTCTGTCTGCTGGAGCACGCGCCAGTAGCAAGAGCGCGCCCGCCCTCTCTTCTGTGGATTCAGGGCGGCGGGCTGCCAACCTTTGGAATATTTCAGCAGGTGTGTTGCTGTGCTTGTCGACAGCCGTCTCTGACCCCCCCCACCGCAGCAAAGATCCACTGCTTCCATTAGTCTATGCCTCGTGTTTGCTCATGAGCTGCGAGATGCAATGGCATGGAACCATTTTCGCCTGGTTTATTCGGATTGGCTCCGTTTCTCAACAATACGCGCAGGGCCTCGTTGGACATGCGTTCAGCGGCGGCGAGAGAGGGGTAGCAGTGCGAACCAGGGAGCGATTCCATGTTAGCATCGGCCCCGGCTTCAAGAAACACCTCCGCTGCCTCTGCTTGGTTGTCAAGGGCCGCCTGATGCAAAGCGGCCCAGCCACTTGAAGGGCAAGCTTGACTACCGGCGTCAACCCCATGCTCTAAGAAGGCTTTGATAACACCGACATGTCCTAGCTGTACGGCCACATGTATCTCTGATCTAGCGAATTGCTCTGACGCGATAACCACATCATCAATCACAACTCTCAAAAAGCAAACTCCGCACCAGAAGCGAAGAGGTTCTTGACGGAGGATTCATCGCCTTGATGACACCCCAGGTAGAGAGGCGAAAGACCTTCACCGTCTGTGTTGTTTGGAGCGGCTCCGGCTGTGAGTAAGTCAGCTACACGCGGTCGCACCCCCGACGCTCAGCGGCATGGAGGGGATAACATCGTTCCGCCGAATCCCGATGGTTCACGACAGCTACGGCCGAGATAAGAGTCCTTGGAACAGCAGGTGTTTCTTTTTTGCTGCTGTTGCCGTGAACGATGGAAGTGTACAGCGTCGATCTCCCTAAATGATCCGGCTGGTTAACATCACCACCGGCGTCGAGGAGCCTCGTCACAAGGCGTTCGTTGCCACTGGCTACGACACAGTTCAGCGGCACCCGCAGCCACTCCACCCATTCCTCTGAAGATGTGCCACACATCGAGATAAAAGTTTGAATATCTCGGCGGCCAACGCGTGCAGAGATGCTGTGTCAAAGGTGCACATGCCGTTCATCAGATAGGCCAATAAATGGTAGTGAAGCAACAGAATACAGTAGCGGCACGAAGAGTTCTTGCGCTAGATTCTATCACGCCCACAGTTTACCCTGTGTGAATGCCTATGGTGTATCTGGTACGCCGGCGCTAGAGCAAGAGCAGAAGAGCAGGGGGAGCAGCAAGGTGACATCCCCGGATCCCCCCCCCCCCTCCTGGTGCGCGCCCCTCCCCTATTTCGCCGCGTCTCATGTACATGAAAGAGAACAGCCACACCTCAGACCTTGACTACGGAGCTTCATGAGCTTCATACGACTGGCCGCTGTGCTTGCGGCCTGCTTGCCTGTCCGAGGGTTGATATCGAATTCTGCTGGTGGTGGTGCTCATAGACTGCAGCAAGGCAGCAGACAGGCGCGAACCCCACTCCGCGCTATCGCTGGCGCAAGCGCGGATCAAGTGAGAGAGGCTCTAATCACCAGCGAAGCTTTCAAGGACCTGGTTGAGAGGCTTGAAGAAAGATCACGCCAAGAGGCTGGTGCCACGGCAACATCTACCCCTTCCGATACTCGGCACGAGCAGCACGCGTTTACGTCGGCGCCAGATCGAAAGGATGCTGCTGAACACGGAGGAGGCAGCAACGATCACGCGATGCAGGCGAACCACGCGCGGAAGAGGAAGTCGGAGAAGCTTGCTGGTTTGAGGACGGCTGTACTCGAGGTAGAAAACCCGGTGTGTACCTGTGTGTTCCGCGCGTTCCGTGTAGTGTTTACAACATAAGTAGAACTGTAGGTAATTTTCACGAGCGTTTTTTCTGCAGGACGGCAACGGTGCAAACGCTGACGATCTACTTCTTCCCATGTCTACCGGTCTGCAACGTCCCTGTGCCAGACGACTCGCCCACCAAACAACAACGGCGGTAGATACGTAGATACCTTGCCTAGGAGCTCGATCTGTCTTGCAGGTACAAAAGTAGCGGTCCCTGTACAAGGCCGCACCGTGCGGAGGGATTTGACCGGCCTTACACATGTAACGGGCAAGCGTCATTTGTCACAGTTCAAAATAGGAGGCAATTTTAATGTGCTTGTTCTGTGTAGCGCGATTTCACCGGGCACGTACACGCGTATGCGGCGTCCGGCCTTGCAGCGCCCCACACTCATGGTTACGTACATGTTAAAAACTCCCTCTATCGGAGGCTCGCGCCATAACGGGCGCGGAGTTCTTGTTTGGGCCCGGCTTCTCCCGCTGAAGCTGCCCCATACAGGACCACGTTCGTATTGCTTTCCGGGGCGGGGAGTGCAAAAGGCTTCTGTACAACAATGAAGTACGGAGTACAGCAGCAGCGCAACAGATAATCTCACCAGAGAAAAATGCGTTCGTTGGTTTTGTTGCACCTCATGCGTTGGCAACAGCAGTGACACAAAATACATGCACGCTGAGATCTTAGGAGATGTCATGACTTCCCTGTATCGAACACAAACCTTCGCCTCCGCGATCAGCCTCTACATAAGGCATTCCAAAGGCAGTGAAACGTACGGCGTCGTGGAGCAACTCTCAAACTTGTTGATCTTGGGCGTTACACTACAAGCAGATTCTGGACGCACGTTTGTACACAGCTACAGCTCCACAGCCGCACCACCCAATATGCTCTGTCGTGTTCGACTCAAACTTACCCCACGAGCTATGTGTCAACAGCAATCAAAAGCAGCGCGCATTGACGCCTGGATGCGAAAACTGCCGGTTATTTCCATGCCCTGTATCTCGTCGTCCGCGTCCATGGTGTCGTCTTCGTCCAGAAGACCCAGCTCGTCGTTCTGGCTGGTGGACGTGTCAAGCACAGCGAATAACGCTCACAAATGAAACCGCCGTTACTGGACAGATGATTTTACCATGCAGATGATGATATTCATCAGTTTTATATAGTCCTAGTAAATTCGTGTGCAAAATAACACAACAATGAACCAACACCACCAACGATGACGGCTATGCAAAAGGAAATGAAAATCACGGTGAAATCGAACACGTGGTGTTTATCCTTGTGTGCCTCCGGTTTGTGCCTCAACCACCCCTCTTTTCTTTTTTGTGTGTGCACCAACACAACCGTGGGCTCACCCGTTAGCAACTATGTGCGTGGAGACAAGAGTAGTCGCTTTCGCCAATCACTGCCTGCTGGACAAGCAGTCCGAGACATTGGACACCTTCTTGTTTCCACCCGCTGCCTCTTGTCTCTGCCGCTCTCTTTGACATCTACGTTATTCTCAAATATGAAGACCCCACAGGAGATCTTGCCCTCCACGTGCCTTCAGTATACACCGGCGCATTGAACCCTCCGTTGAGATGAAGGAAATCCCCTTTGACGTCGCCCAAGGTACGGGTGTTTACGGCACTACTGTAGTTGAGCAAGGAACAACGCTCCACCACATGTGCAGTACAACTACGTCTTCACAATGATTCGACGCACATATGCAACTTTCGCTTCCAGAATCCGAACTGTGCGCTCGTGCTGTTGCCAATGTCTGCTGTGCACAGAACCCGAAAGCACGCGAAATGCGGGACGCGTTTAAAACGGACAATGGGAATGCCATCAGCCGACCAAATGGCTCTACACCCCCGACTCCGCCATTAACCGCTCCTGCTAGTGCTTCCACTGGTGACGTCGCTGCTGCTATATCGACGCCCGCTTTTGACCCTGAGCAACAAGGCACGGTCGAGAAGCAGCTCCAGGCGGAAGAGCACAGCTCGACCGCTGCTGCTGTGATGGCCGACGGGGAGGCACTGCTTCCAACGGAGCCGCAGGAGGTAGAGGAGGAGGGGAAGGGTAGGAAGCGGTTCCGATGGATTGGACGCGTAGCGTCGAGGGTATCGAACGTGGGAAAGAGGGTGAGGTGGCGGGTAACGCGAATCGGGGCGAAAGATACAACACCGGGAGAAGAACACAGTTCCTGAAAACGCCTGACGAAATCCGACTGAGTATGGTGTGTAGATGGGACTTTCGTGTAGCGTGTACATGTACCTGTGTAGCAGGTAGGGCTGTTGTGTATGGGACTGGCTTAGTAAAAGATATGCTAGCGGTATATTTTTTGTTTTTTAAGTGCGGGTTGTCTATTGGCTTTGGACTGGCTCGCTGTGGGTGCCTTGTATCCGTACACACGCGGCATACAATGGGACGCCTTGCTTTATCTACGATCCACAGAGCAAGCCACAGAGATGTGTCGACGCCAGTCACCATCAAAGCAAGTATTTCTTGACAGAATGCCCTCTCGTGCTGTAAGGCTTTGAACCCCACCTAGCTTTGCGAGCGTTAGACGACAGCTTTCTGGCAATGCGCCACCTGCGACCAGTCTACGAACATGTGAAGATAGTTGTGACATTTCTCTAAGAATTTTCTCTTCAACTCGCGAAGGATCCGATGTTGTACGGCGGCATATGGATGTATTCCCGCTCCCCTATATTTTTCTAACAGTATGTTCTAGAAGTTTACGTAGAGTCCGGGAGGAGGGAGAGGAAGGAGTACCCCACGGAGATTCGCGTGGGCGAGTATTAATCCCGTGCATATTGTTTCCATTATGGCTTGCGTTGAATGGTATATTCTGACCGAAAAAGGCAACTGCCAAGCAAGATGAAGGCCTGAGCCAGCAGAAAAAATGTGCGGATTTTCACAAATCTTACAAGTGCCCAGTTCTACACTGAATGTCTGCATGGGCTTCACCAACGAACGACCCGTTTTATGTATGGTTTGTTTCAGGGTCACCAGCTGTTCCGTATTCTCGAAGCTTGTTTCGCAGGATGGTGTAACAACAGTCACGGGAGCCGCTAAATCGTACTCCATAGAGAATATGCGTTCTTCGGTCGAAATAGGTGGGCGCACTTGGGGAATTCTGTCGGGACACCAACTAGACCGGGGGACTTGTCAAAGACATGATTTCCATTCGGGTGATCAAACTGTTCTGCTTTACGTTCTTAGGAGCAACAAATTTTCGCCTCGAATGCCGCCTGCATTCGGGCACGGTGCACCGAAACACCGCCCACTAGAACATAACTGGCGTGTCCGTACGAAACGATGCGAAACATGGGCTTACCGATGGTTTGATGACCCACAATGTCGGGAGGCGATAATTCAGGTTGAGGTGGTGAGAAACGAACGAAAAAACCCGAGAGGCAGCATTTCATGGTATGCAACGTGTCCGGTAATGATGCAATTATTGTGATATTCGCAGCCGCTTGGTATGAACCCCTCCATCGCCACGTGCCATTGAGCACGCCACTAGCGCAAACAAACTGAAGACTTTGATGCCCGCCAGCCCTGCCGATCGGGGAAGAATCTCCACAAAATACTACGAACCCACAGCACATGTCAACCGTTCATGTTTGTTTGAACTCGAACCGTGGATGGTACTCCGTATAAGAGGACCCACACGGGCTATTTCAGAGGTTGCCACAAAACTAACCCTTCAAAATTTCTCCGTGATCATGGCCCTACCCAAGCGCAGCTGGAACTTGAACGGGCTCTGAGGTCTCAAACTCTCGTCGAACGCGTTGAACCCGCATGCCTGTAGCGTTTCCAGGTACCACGCCACCCGAACTCCCGGCAGCAGAGCCGCAAACGCTCCGGCGGGAAGCTTGCCCCCCCTCTCGTCCCGTGCCGCTGCGAGACCTTCTTCCGCGGCTTCGATGTGCCCCTTCGCGACAGAGGCCACGGCGAACACGCACTCGGCGAGCGCATGGGCCTCCTTGTCGTCCTGCGGCCCCCTCTCCAGCACGGCGTGTCGGAGCAAGAACCTCCGCATCACGTCGGAAGGAAGCACGCACGACTCCGCGAAGCCGATGCTTCCGCTGCTCAGCGCGGCCGGCGGGGGCGGGAGGGCGAGCGACCGAAGGAGGGTGCAGATGCCCGCGGCTTTCCCCACGTGTCCAGCAGCGTGTCCCAAGGCTGCCGCGCCCGGCCCCGCCCCTGCGCGTACCCCGGCAAGCTCTAGGGATAGGTACAAGAGGGATGAGGCTGTGTTCTCGGCGTACCTGCCGCCGGTGGAGAGTATACACGGGAGTCCCGCCAACTGGAATGAGGAAAACAATATTGTTCGCTGGTGTTCCGTTCCATTGTCCAAGGGGTTTGCCTGAGGTTCGGAGTCCGGCTCTAGAACCGTTTGCATGCTTCACTGTACTCTTGCCGACAAATCAATGATCATTATGTTGAGTGGGTCTCGCAAACCGGGCGAATGGGAGCTGTTGCAACAGGTAGCTGGGCGGGGCAAACACTTGAACGCCGTCGTCGCCGGGCTATTGCTTACGTGGACAAAACGTTTCTTGTTCCGCCCGGACAAGGCGACGTTACTGGAAGGTACAGGCAACAAAAGCTCCATATACAGATGCGCCTGGCTTGGAATGCCTGAAAGATTTCCCATTCGTCCCAAGACTGCAAGTCATACACAAGGATACGCTGACGATTGATTAGGATCTCCTCCCGGTGTCGTGGGTTACGTGCAGCTGAACCTTCTAAACACTTCACGATACATGCAAGTACACAGCTCAAGCGCAACCATTCCACAGGGCTTCCACCCACGTTTCCATCTCCTCCAAAGTTTCTGGTTGCGTCCTGTCCAAGTCGGCCATCCTTGCGTCTAGCACGCGGTCGAACCATCTTCGCGTAAGTCCGCCTTTTTGATTTGCGACCACCTCAGCTAGCGCAACGGCGACCGGGTATGGCGGCGGCTCCCCCACGAATATATCTGTTCGACACGACAACACGCGTGCGGCTCAGGCAAGGATGCGGCAAAAGTAGATTTGCATCTTGTGTTCATTTCGACAGCAATACATCTTAAAGGGGATCTGAGAATATTTTTACGTGTTGCACTCAGTTGAAAATGTTATCGCCGGGTGTGGCAATGTGTGTGGGGGTGGTGGTATCTGTCGTGGGGGTGCCAATGTGGAATACGGAGGTCCAAGAGACCGCCAACCTTTGGGGCGGAAGTAATCAGTCACTCCATTCGCCAGCATCCGGCGCAACATTACCAACAAGCTCGAGCAATGTCAAGGGGTAGGTGCTTGACGTGGATTTGCGGAAGTTGCGTCGCGCAACTGTTGTTCGACACTTTCGTCGCGAGGAAAGCTGAAAATCATTTGCTCCTGATCGCGCGATTTTTGTCCAAAGCAATTTTTTTGCAACTTTTTGCTCCAATGAAAAGCGTACATGAGGAAAGTTGCGAGAAAATTTTGGAAACTTTGACATTTTCGCAACTTTGTGCTCCAATAAAAAGCGGTGTTAGGGCGTAAAATTTGCGCGCTTCCGCAATGTTCAGGTATCCTCCGGGCCACGATTGGAATTAATGTAGCGAACGTTTGTGGGTGCCGGCAGGTATCAAGTCGGGCGACATTCTATTCACGTATGTATATCGTACCGTCGAGGTGTGTGCGAAGCAATGATTTATTCAGCACCGTAAAAGGGACTCTCCGTATCGCACCCATCGGTGTCATCGCACTGGGGATGCGTTGGAATCTAGAACGAAACTATTGAATTGCATTTCCGCACCGGGATCGGTGACATGGCACCCATCGGTGTTAAGGCAGCGGGGTGCGACAAAAGGCCAAAGCAGGATGATATTAAAAAAGATCGCACCCCGGTGCCATGACACGTGCGTTTACGGCAGTCACCTAGGGAAAATAGCGGTAGTGAATATTGGGCTCGAACCAGGAGTGCAACAAAGTCTGCAGTCAACCCCGCGCGCCAATATGATGTGTACCGTAATTGCCATGCGCAAAAAACTAAGGCATCTACAATCAATTCTCGTAGTTGACCCAATCCATGACTATGCGCCATGATCACGCGTCAGGCGTGTGTGGTGTACTCGCTCGCACGCGCCTGCTTTTCATCTACTTTGACTTTCTCATGAATACACACAACAAAGCAAAAACACAAACGGTCCCCGGTATAGTTTGCAGCCAACCATGCGTGCAAGTCTGCGTGGTTATTACCGTATCCATGCGTGTGCACACGCGGAATACTGCGGACTGCGCAAATTTGGAGACGAAAGAAAAAATGTTGCCGATAGCAGTATGCAAAGCAGGAACACCAAATGTGACAGGATTGGGTGGTTGCAGCGCGTCGGCCTCGCGCGTCGACCCTCGATCAATGGTTGACACCTCGCGCTTGGCAGTCCCCCGACTTCGCGCCGGCCGGTACACCTATAGCCACAAGTTCGTAGTTTACATAGACTACATGTTGTAAATAGGGTGGGAACATGAACGGAAACAAAATGATGTTGGCAGTACCATGGTTGATGATAGATCGAGCCTGCACCTGCATGACGTCATGGCATGCGGTCCTTTACAAAAACTGAATGCGCATCATCTCCCAAACGAGGCATCTAGAAGCATGGGAATTGATGCCAGCCCATCTCTCAGCGGATGCGCTGCTGGCCCTTTCACACTGGCCGTCCCACGTACCGCAGGTTGCATGAGATACCACAAACCTGTGATAACATTGTTCGGGGCAACAAAGTTATCACATGGTTGTGGTATTCTGTAGGGGGTGTGATATCTTTTGTCACCCGTGTGATCAAGTGCACTCCCAGAACCCCGCCCACAGGGTGTGTGTGAACCATGGGGTGTGATGACATCGCCCGTGTGCTGCAGTGACCCTACCTACCGTGGTGTAATATTTTTGTCGCCCGAGTGACGCAGTGTGCTCAAGCAGGAACCCGCCAACAAAGGGCGTGACGAATGCAGTGCAAAAAAGGTATGATAGCTAGGGTGGCACATCCCACTTCATCACGTGCTCTCTCACGTGCATTTTCGCATTATCCTTTTGAATGCTTCGCATAAACAACGAACGAACGTGTAGTACCGGTACCTCAAAGCGGTTTTGGCGGTGTTGTGTGCGGCAGAACGGCAGCACACCAGTACCTGGACGACGCAACGACTTGCATGACTTGCGCTCATCGCTCGAGCTGGAACTATGTAGGACGCAAGCAAGTACCAGCAACATATCACCAAAGCTAGAAACAACAACCGGAAGAGGCTCTGCCCACAGGGGCTTGTTGGTGCGCGAGGGTTCTCCGCAGCGCGGTGCTGCTGCAGGATTCTCAGCAGTAGCCGCGGTCACGGTGTTGGTTCGCGGGAAAGCTGCCTTTTCGGGTGCAGGTGTGGGTGCTGCGGGAGTCGATAGGTTTTGCTCCGCAGGTTTCAGCGGCACTCGCGGTGGGAGGCGCAGCCGGTGCTGTGGAGTCTCAGCAGCAGTAGATTCTGTTGGGCGGGCCCCAGCAGTACGTGCGGTGTCATGCACGCGGGCGTTGAGGGAGTCGTCTCAGCAGGGGCCCCGAGGTCCTCCGTGGATGGTTGAAAAAATGATGATATGGAGCGTGGGGCCGCCGCTGTAGTCTTGCCCGCTGCAGTCTGCGCGGGACTTTTAGCAAGGTTGCTAACCGCACCCCCCCCTCCACGGCATTATTGGCCTCCATGGCTTTGGCGAGCAGGTAGAGTGCTTGTGATCTCGTGTTTTCACGTTGTCACACCGCGTGATAAGCAGGGGCTCCGTCGATAACATGCGGCTCAACCTTAGGCGGTGTGGTGTCTTGCATTTTTCTTTTTTTTCTCCCATCATTGGACTCTGTCGTCCGCCACTCTGGCCCCTATCCTCCACTTCTACTAGCTAGACGACCCAACCGGGGTCATATAGGAGGGGGGGGCTGGACCCCCTCCTGCGGTTCCTGCCTGAGGTGTTTTTATCGCGAGAAGGGCACAGCAATCCCTTCCCTCGCGACTTACGAAGTCGATTAGGGTTTACTAACAACGAACTTTGCAGCGCGTCGCTTTCATCCTAGACCAGGATTTATTTAGTGAGCATATGTGACCGTGTGATATAAAAAAAATAGCACACGGGTGTGGTACTGTATTGTATAAGTTTGATATCGTGTGCAACCTGCGGTTGTGCCCCAGCCCATCCCTGACCTGATGCACTGCCGGCCCTTGTCACACTGGTTCTCGGTAGCTGGATAGTTCTTGTGCATTCTTGACATATTGGACCAACAAACGTCGTGGAGTGTTTTGCTGCAACTGAGTATGTTGATGACCCGTGGGGGTAATGTTCAGTGTCATCCGGTTCGGTACGGCACCGAGGAGATCGACGACTAGGTCTACGACTGAAGTCACGAAGAGAGACACGCGCTTCTCAACAACGGGAACAATCTTTGGTACGAAACTTGCAGGGCCTCACTCGAACGTCTGTCGCCGCAATTTCGAGAACAGCGGAGATCACCATGTCCAAAACCAAGTGAATAACAGAAGTGCGGCGTGACCGGAGAAGAAAACTGGGGTAAAGTGGGTCAAAATCGAGTACAGGTTTGGAGAATTTGCGCTACAGAGAACTAGGGCCCTCAAATAAGGGCTTCCGAACACACCTGCCATCGTGTCCTTCCACCACTGCATCCGCATCTTCCCCGGGATAACGTTTCCTCGGACTGAGTCCTTGATGGCGGCAGTCTCCACGTTGAACGCTCTAATGGCTAGTGATGCTGGTCTGATCGTTCCACATACAGCCGATTGGCCGACGTTGCGTGTTGTAGCAGTCGGCATTGGGTGGGCACACGTGGATGGGTTGGTCACATGAGGTTCAATCGCGCGTCTGGTTCAATCATTTAATCATTATCGATTACGCCGCATTCAGAAATTTGCACGGCTGGCACATGTACACGTGCAAAAAAGCTGCAACATAAAACATCCAATGCCCTGATATCAGATGCCGAACGTTCACAAAAACTCTCGTGAAAATCTGACAAGATGCTTCGACGACAGCGCAGCGCCAGCTGTGTCTACACGAAGAACCACCAACATTTGAGCTTCCATTTGGTACCAACCTCAACTGAGCGCCCTGCAGGAGGCTGTAGAGATAACCGTCGTAGTCCCCTCGTTTCACTACATCGCTGCAATGACCGAAGGGGTCTGTCGGGGCAGGACCCCTGCCCCCTTGGGCACTCATTCTACGGGACAGAACTCGCGCAACCAGTGTCCCACGCATGCTTCGGTATCTGACACTGCGGCACTGCTGCTCTGCCTGCTGCTTTACTCGGCCTTTGGGGGCCGACGACGAGTATCAGCACTATATGTCCCTCCCCCGCGGCGCGGTCTTTATGCTATCCGCGGGGATCTGTCGCACAGAGCAGCCGTATTTCGACGTGCGCTGCTTGTGCTGTGCGGTCTACCAGGCTAACACATACGCTCAGATGACTCCCTCATGGTGGCCACGGCATTCCGCCATTAGCTTTGCGCTATTGCACGGCTTCTGGTTTGGCAGCGCATTTCAGCTTTCAACAAGCAACAACCACAACAGACCTGTCGGAATAGATCGCGGCGTGGACCGATTCTCGGATCATGATGACTTGCCCATGCCTACCCCTTTTAAGAAGGACTTCACCAGACCCTTGGATATTCCGGAGGAGGGCCTTCAGACTGCCATGGAGGTGCTTCGCAGCGGGAGACTTTTTCGGTATAGCACTGAGGCCGCGGAGCTCTCACAGGTACAGAAAATTGGGTGTTGCTGCAGACTAATTTGTGCAGGTGACGGAAGATATCACACTGGAGCGGTTGTCAAACCTCGATTGCTCCACCTCCATGACAAAGGGAGATCTCGACGAGACGGTTCCAATGCCGCCATTTTCGGCACTGTCACTCTTTTTGCTTCGGAGTTGTCGAGCTTTGAACTTCGGTCCAGACGGTTTGACATCCTACGTCACCGTCGATACTTGCTTGTAGCACCCGCCCAGGAGCCAGATTTTGTTCTTGTAAGTTTCAACATCCCAAGGATTCATTCCGTCGCACTGCTTGAAATTAGAGTAGGTGGAGATGTTTTTTGTGTCCTTTTTTTACTTGCGCACCCTGCACACACCTGAGTGTGAGACTGAATACGGCAGTTGGGCTGCCCCCGACCACCAAGACGTTTGACCAACGGAACATGTACTCTCTCACATGAGCAATGGTCGTGATCGGATGAGTGTGGGTCAGGAATTCTAGACAAGCGGTATCTTGAGCAGCGCACGATTACGTACAAAGAGCGGCCACCAACGGTTAGTTCTACTGCTGTGTAGCCGCTGTACAGCACACACAACTTGTGGCGCGTGTACAAGGCACACAAATCTATTATGGTGTGTGTATACGGCAGATCAGTGTGAACCTTACTTCAAGCACGTCTCACATACGTCATTAGGGTTTAGACGTTAGGTCGCGCGTTGGCGAGTTCCCGAGTGTAGGGTTTGGTCAATCCGTGAAAACATGCGTTGCAGCAGCGTGTGCACACCAGCACCGAAGCACAGGAGCACAGGATTGGTGGCACAGAGAACTGCTGTGTCTCCGCAATGTAAGCATCAGCCAACACCCTCAGCACGTCTTGATATTCATGGGCTCTGCAGGAGGTCACCACACAAATCCAGGATGTCGTCAACCCGGCCATGCAACGGGTACGGAAGGCCGTCAAGCCGTGGAGAAGCACATACATCGTTTGCTTGCCTCTTCCCCTGTACGCGTCAACAACAGTACGACACCGACCGTGGTCATCACGCGATACGCCCTGCCTCGCCATTCCGTTCTAACGCGAAATGCCTACAGCAGCTACACTTGCATTCATGGACTTGCTTCAACGAACGCCATGCCCAACATTGACACACGTCTACTCTCAGCCAGTGTGCTGTACGCAAGGCACTTGCTCAGCGGACACGCGCGCAGAATTTTCGCGATTTTTCTTCACACGGAACCAACGGAACCGCAAAAATAGTGTTGTGGACATCATGTAGTGCAATTGTCTAACCGCCGTACGAACGATTAGGAAAGATGTTGCTACTCGACACCAAGCCACACATTCTTCAATTCAAACTCTAGACAGTTAGAGAACTGTACATTGGTTGCCGCGTATCACCATTCCTTTCATCACCACTCACCAGGGCGTTAGAGTCGAGCGAACCCAGTTTCCGAAAAGGCTGTTGTTCGGTATGACTGTTCTCTCACCCGCGCAGGAACAAGTTCTCATCGACGTCCCAACTTCTTCCCCGTCTTCATTTTTATCTCCCTTTTCACCGTCATCGATTAATCTCGCTTGCGATTCGGGCCCTGAGGGCGCGGGGGGGGTTCAGTAGCCTAGTTGAGAATTATTTGACGAAATTGCACGCGGATCACGCTTGCCCGCCTCATGCGCGCTCAGCATTTATACGCGACAAGCGTGCGGAGGCAGAAAGACAAGCTAAAGCTGAGGATTAGAACTAGACACCTGGATCCCGTCCCGAGTAACTACCACCCTTTCATGACTAATCACCTGTCTGCTGTGGCTGTCCCTTGCTCTCGCTAATCTACGTCTAGTTCTCCATCGGCAAGAATTTCTGTAATATTCTACAGGTTGGAAAGATGTCCACGGCTCGTGAATCACTCGTATCAGCAGAGCAGTGCATAGGTTTCGGTGGCTGCCGCGACACGCGTATTGAACAGAGTCCCAAGATGCACGATGGTGGCGGCGGTCATGCCCTGCGGAAGCACTATATTTCTTATTCAAGTCTACGTTGCTATAAATTTAAGAAATAAACATTTCCATCGTCCTTGACCACCTACCGAGAGTGGAGGCGGAAAGTCGTCGACTCTCCTTCCTTTACCCTCTGCTGGTCACTCTTTCTACCTCTCTCCTGGTTACATCTTACGAAAGGAAATAGCCTGTTTCCTCATGTTTGCGTAACAAAATACCGTTGTTTTGATGGGTAGGGGGGCACGGGAGAATAATTTTTACTCTCCTTCCTCTACCCTCTGCTGGTCACTCTTTCTACCTCTCTCCTGGTTATATCTTGCGGAAGGAAATAGCCTGTTTCCTCATGTTTGTGTAACACAATACCGTTGTTGTGATGGGTAGGGGGGCAAGGGAGAATATTTTTTACTCCCCCTCCCCCTGGTGTTTTTCCCATGCCCCCGGGGTTGGGTTGTCGTCGCTTGGCAACGACGTTGTAATACAAGCCCCCCCCCTCGGTGTTTGCCATCGGGATTGGGTTTTCGTCGCTTGGTAACGACGTTGTAAATCAAGCCAATTCACTTCGTGAACTCTGCAACCAGGTAACCGTTTTTTTCTTTTTACCTCTGTTTTTTTTTTGGCGGTAACCATAATGGTGGTCGAGCAGATCATGTTGTGCGGGGTCGAGATCCCTCACTCCGCGCAAGGGGGATGATCGCACCACGTCGTGTTCAAATGGGCAAGCACCCTCGAGGCAGTTACACAGTGCTTACAACTGTCTCTGGAAGTGAAAGCACCAGAAAATAAATTAAGTCATACGCAGCTGTCATCCGTACGCAAGGAAGTAAGCACAAGATGCCGAACACCCTTAGCAGGATGCAGCGCACCCTTCATGCGACTCGCCGAATATCTCACGGCGCTTCGCGCTTGGTGATGTGAGAGCCTGGTCCGGTGAGAACCCGGCGTGCTCCGTCCCGGCTTTGTAGGGATGCGAGGTCAATGGTCTAACGACTACGGCATGCACGACTATGAGTATGAGTATGAGTATACCCCCCCCCCTGGTGTTTGCCATCGAGGATAGTTTTTCGTCGCTTGGCAACGACGTTGTAAAATATGCCACCCCCTTTCGTGAACTCGGCAACCAGGTTACCGTTTTTTTT